CTATGATGTTCGGAGAGTAATTAACGCAAAAGAACGCTGAACCCGTAATACGATATGAACCTACTTAGAACCCTATTTCTCGCACAAACTGGATGCGGGGCTTGTGCTGTTCTGATCCCCATGACCTGTGGGGATTCAGGGTCCGCACAGCACAACACAGCACAACGGGCCCCTAAAAATTCGCAGAGTATATCAGGAAGAACTCACGTGGCTTCGAAGCATTCTGCCGCACCTGTTGTGATGTGCTGCGATGTTCTGATGCGGCAACATAACAGGGCCACAGGTCGCAAAACCAGCCTCCACATCTTGAAGGGTTTCGGGATTGAATTATATTAAACAAAAAATGACGACGTGTTGCATTTTTTGAAATCCCAATGCACTACGCCGAGTCGGCACGCCTCTGGGGCACCCCATCTTGAGTTGGCACGAGATGGTGCGTGCCAAGGCAGAGCAGTGCCCCGTTTTGCTGTAAGGTGCACCAGTGCGAGCTGTGGCTCGCAACAGCCCCAACGCTGTCACCCACGGGGTCTCGCGACAACGCTGCAACTTCTCGCGGCACCTCTCCCCAGCACACCCAGTTCATATGGATACTATGTAATTGCACTCCCTAGTTGGTGTTGTATGAACATGACGAAAACCCCAGTTTCTGTCGAAATGTTTTGTAGTCGAAAAATCTATGACGAAGTAGTTGTCTATTAGCTGTGAAGTTCCATCTCGTGATTTGGAAGACGCTCTCGAAATTCCACTTACCACCGAGTCGCGCTGAGCTCGAGCTAAGGCGCCCTAGAGACCTGCCAAGCCGATGCAATGTACAGGGATTTCCTGAATAGCAACACATCGTAACTGTGTTGCAAATCAATTTGGCGCGCACAAGTGCGACCCGTTACAGGGTGTGCACCGACACTCGTTGGTGCACATCAAACCGCACCAATGCGTGCGCTGTAGAAGCAGTTAGACTCGTCAAAGGTGACATCATGAGAGTTGAGGAAGCACCAAGAGGAAGGGTGGTATAACATCCAGTCAGGAGTGTCGAGGAAAACACATGAGAGAGTGCGAGCTGAGAGGTTGTATGCGCGAGAATCGATGTCGTTAGCGTGGTTGATGATATCAGCCCAAGTGTTGATAACACGACCATGGCTATCAAGTACGGATTTGTTGAAGTTGAAACCGTACCTTGCTAAGCATTCTTTTTGCCCGGGCTGCTGCTAAGAGGCTGTGGGGTAGGCAAAGAACACAGACGCAGACGTAGGGGACCTGGTCCACATGATAGTTGGCGAAACCTGTGGGCGTGAAGAACGATGCCATGTGTTAAGCCGGTGCGCAGTGTAGCCCACTGCAAACGGCCACAGAAAATGGGGTGCACTGGCATGATACATGGAGGTACGAGCGACCTCCATGGTCAGCCCAATGCGACGCTCAGCGATCCCATTCTACTGTGGCGAGTCTGGCTATGCGAACGACTGGCAGATGCCATGCGCGCGACAAAACTGCTCGACCCGAACGAAGATAAACTCATCACCCAAGTCAGAGTGCAACTCAAGCACAGGATGGTCATGTTGGGTGCGGATGGCCACGATCCACTAGAGAAGAGCGTCAGGCACGTCAGCCTTCTGCTGTAGTGAAAACACCGTGGTGTAGCGGGTGTACTCGTCCACAACTACTAGAAGATACACTCCCCGCGAGGCCCAACAACTGGGGCAGGGCCCCAAAGGTCCATGTGCAGGGTCTGAAGAAGCTGAATGGCACGAGACAGTGAGAAGGAGTGAGGGGCGGGGTACTGCCGGCCCTCGACACATGGAGTGCATGGCGGTGCAGACGAGGGAGGAAGTGAGGCCAGCGTCTCTGGGAGACCTGTGACAAGACGATGTGAAACTATATGATGCAGACGCGGAAAAGAGGGGTGACCTAGGCAGTGGTGCCAGAGGAGCGACGGGTGGGTGAGAGTCCTACACGAGTAGGACGCGGCTACCGGACCAGATACATACACCGGGGCTGACTCAATGCGCAATGGGAGGAGACCGGACCTAGGCTCTCGCGTGAACATGGCAAGAGGAGCCCTTGTGGTAGAGTCCATACAGGTCGCAAATCACTCTTGCCCAAAAAACGTGGTGGTGACACCCAGGTCCTGAAGATGACCCACACCAAAGTTCTTGGAGAACGCGGGGATATGCAGACCCGTCAAGCAGCAAGAGGGGACCGCCGGGCACGTGAGTGTAGTGGAACTGTGCGCAACAACCAGGCCCAAGGAGGGGACGGCCAGTGCAACTGCGACATGTGCACGAAGAGGTGCGAGGCTCATGTGGTCGTAGAAGAAACGCCGAGAGGCGTCGGATTTGAGCGTGAAGGAGAACGACACGTTAGTAGTGGTCACACATATGCAAGTAACAACATAACATTCTACACATGCATCAAAATAGCCTACACATTCAGCAGCTACTGCTCATAGATTAGATGCACAAGAATAATAGGGTCCAACGACACTAGAGTCAGATGCATACAAAATAGTAGGAACATCAGTAACATCCATAGTAAAGATAGGCACACCACATTGCATCAGAGAGTACTAGTCTTGGAGAGCAGCCTGAAGGCCAAAGCGCAGGTGGTAGAGATTGTTGAGGCGGCGGAAGCTGCATGCCGTCGAGTGATCCGGAGTCCGCAGACAGTGCCAACGCCAAGGCCAGTCTGAAGACGTTACTGGCACGGCCCAACGTCACGGCGACGTGACGCCCAGCTGTCAGAGCCGCCACTGTAGCCAGTGCTCCTCGGACCCCCAGGGCCCAGCTGCTGATGTGAGACCCACTGTTCCACGGGCTATCGCTGCTGGCGTAGCTGCTGTTTCTGCTATAGAGTACAAGGTGTTGTTCTCTCTAAAGAGTACCCCTAACTAACAACCTAGCCTATGAACGATGTAACAAATATAGTTTGACACTTTCTTTGACCTACTAGAACAAGGAACAAGGTGGGCGGGACAAGGTTGGCTGCATTGACGGAGATGTGAGTGTTGGATAGAGCTCAAGAGGCATCGACGATTCAGGGTTTCAGGTTTAGCTTACAAGTTGCATTGATGGCTTAGGGGTTTAGGGCCCAGTTCTGTTGCCGCACTACTGGTGCGGACCCCTCCGCACAGCACTAGATGATGCTTCGTGAGGGCCTCTACCAGTGATCCTCGAAGATTCCATTCCAAGGGCGCATTCCTTGAATCAGGCTCGGGACCTTGAACCCTCTCCCGAACCTGGCCAGTGCTATGCTGTGCTGTGGTGTGCGGCCTACCTAGCGCAAAAGAACGCTGAACCAGTAGTGCTGTGCTGTCCCCTCCTCCCAGGCAAACTGGGTGCGAGACTGGTGCGAGGCTGGTTCCCGTTCGAATCGGGGACCCAGGGACAGCACAAGTAGTTCCGGGCTGGTGCCCCGAAAACAACACGTTACGGGGGAGGGCAGTGTCCCATTGGTGACGAGAATTATTTTTGGTACTGGTTGGCTGTATTGCTCCAGGCCAACCAATTATCGTCGCGGAAAACATTTTAACGGTCTGCAAAGCAAAACTTTTACGAACCCCCCACAGTTGCGCGTAGGGTGGCAGGAAGCTGTATCGCAACACCGTGGGGGTTCCTGGCTTCGCGGAAGCACTCAGCAGCACCAGTGGTGCTGTGCTGTGCTGTCCGCCCTCCATTTGCCGCTGGGCAACAGAACTGGGCCTAGGTTTTGGGCTCGCTCACAAATACCTCTCCTATCTCCCTTCTATCTACAATTCTGGCTCCAACTTGTAAGAAGAATCATCTGGTCTTTCAGGTGCCAAATCAGTAGTTGAGGATGAGTTACAAGTGATGAAACAATTGGTGTCTTGCGCAATGAGTGGTCAATCACCTGTGGAGAAAAAATACATGGAATGGCACTTGTTGGTGCCAGTTTTTGTGAGAAGTCATGGGGCGCATGAGAGTGTGATGGAAGTGAAGCAAGGGAGGCTTGGGCAAGTCAGATTGACCCACGTACGCATGCCACTTCTACTTTCTCAAAAGTGCAGGTCATGGAGCTAGTTACCTGTGTCACTTCCGAAGGGTGAGGTTCAGGGTTCAAACCCCCATGCCTACGAACATTGTCAGCCTCCCAGAAAGGGGATCGCACGTGCTCACCTTGGGAGTGGATATAGCCCAACGTGATTCACCCAGCCAGGAGTGCAAAGAATTGGGGAGGCGGACGATCTACAGCTGGGTGTGGGTAACACCGTCTCATTTCCAATTCGTTTGGTCATAGGCCCTGAACAACCCCCACTTTCGCGTTCGCATCGAATTCCTTCGGGAAGTAAGGGACGGTCAGAGCCTATGTCCGAATAAATTGGAGACGAGAAGCCAAGAGCGCCAGTCATTCCCTCGTCCATAGAAGTGATGGCAAGGCGCTCGATATCCACCATACGCTAACCCTTTGCTTCCATGCTTATGCAGCTCCAAATAGCACTCATGCAAGAAACATCTGGTTTATTACAATACAATGCATCAAAACATGGATACACATCGTTCAACCATGCCATGATTGTCACACATTAGGGATACGTGAACCAAGTTCACTGAGTCTACCGGGAATGCATCAATCCCCACATCTCCCACGACCACACATCTGCTTTTAGTAACATTTCGGCTGCTGCCTAAATACCGATTGAGCACCCGCTCTGTGCAGCAAGTATATTTCATTCAGGAATTCTACCCAACCCGAGTTCTCTGAACAATTCCAGATTTGTCCACGAAGACGCGAACGCGATCTTCTTGAAAATCCCCGGTGATCATGGCCCCACTCGGAATGATGGCAACGTTCCACTGCGGTGCAGAGGCCTGGAAGTACTTTCGGGCCTCCGCTCCCGTCATCCCCACCACATCGGGAAAAGCATCATTGCTGCGATCAATGGAGCAAACAATGTTTCACAGAAAATGGCATGAATGGAAAATTGCAAGGGTGTGCATGCAGACAAAAACGAAGTTGAATAAATTATAAATAAATAAAAAATGTACCTTGTATCTCCAAGCTTGCCATCCCCCTGACCAGGAGCAGGCTGCTGCTGCTGCTTCTCCTTCCCCTGCTTCTTCTGCTCCTGCTGATTCTTCGGATGCTGCTTCTTCTTCCACAGATTTAACATCATCCGTCTAATCACCTGTCTCAGATTCTGAATCTTCTGCTCCGGCTGTTGCAGCTTACGCTGCCGTCGGGCATCTCGGACGAGCAAGGGAACTCCCGGGGCGCCTGAATAGCCAGGTGCGTGAAGCGATTGGCCGACCAAAGATTCGAGTACGTGTCCGTCTGTGCGAGCGGGTTCGGGAAAGAACTGGGAGAAGTTCTGAGATACGGCTCGAATCTCGGAGACCCGTTGGGGCAGTGATAGTCGCGGGGCAAGAAGCGAGAGCATTATGCATGGAAAAAAACAACCAATGATTTCGCCAGAAAAGCTTATATGCTTTCCCCCCTAACCACTTCACACTCTTATCTCACCTTGGCGATATGAACGCCTCTTACCTTGATCGCTCTCGTTATGGGTGGTTAATAGTCGCCGCGCCCTAGCCCCTTCACTGCCCCGCGGTCCGCAAGACAAGACCAGCACGAGGACGAATCCTAGCAACATACTGACGAAAAACTCAATTGTTCGGGGTTGACTCAAGTCCTAGAGTTGTAGACAAAGAAACTTATCGCACTGTATGTTTTAGAGTCACGGGCCTAAAAGATGTAAGCTGAGGATGGTTTGTGGGGTCTTCCAGTGAGCAACCCGAAGTCGTGTGATCTCGAGTTGATAGATGTGGGTTCACCCTAGCACAGCCCATCCGGTCCAATCCAAAGCATAGGAGGCCCCATAATGCAAATTTCTGGAGGCTATCCTCCAATCTCCTCCCGATTCCAATTATGCAATTCTCCTCCAATCACAGCACCAGCGACGCGGTGAAATGAATAATGCAAGACGCGAGCGAGGTATTTGACTCGCGATACATAGTTCGCCGACGTTTCGGTCACTCGCGAGGGCAAAACCCCTTCTTCTCGTGGACTTCGTTGCTGCCGCCACGCTTCATTAACATTCAGATGGAATTTCGACTCGATTACGAACGGACACTGTAACTTGGTTGGCTCATTTCCCATCACCTCACCCACACACTTCCACCATCATGCAAAACATCCATATATTATGGGATAATTATTAAAGACTTTGTGGCAGGGTGGTTAGGGTTGGTGCCACCTCTTGGAAGGCATGAGAGGGTTTTTGTTTATCCTGGCCCGGGCAGGTGGTCGACGTGACGACGCATGGTCTAATTCACCCGAACGGAGTCGCCTGTCCATTGGGGTATACAGGTGTGCTATCCAGCCCTGTAAGCTTTTCATTCACGGATCACGGAAACCTGCTCTTGTGGTATGATCGAGGAAACTGCTTCTCTTGTCACAGTATTAGCATGATTCTCCTTTCATTCCAAGCCAAGAAACATGCCTTTATTGCCACGGCATCACATTTCTTCGGGTGGCTAGACTGAAAACAAGCGATTACCTGCTCAGGCACCCTGTTTTGAACGGCATTCACAGAGGCACCCTGCTTTTTGAGATGCACTGCCTCCATCAATCCCCTTCAAGTGCTTTCCGTTCAGCTGTCCACTTCAAGCAGCCATGCTGCCATGCAGCAAGGCTTGCACGCCAAAGAGAAGAAATAGCACACCGGCACACAGTGCAACCTGCAGGCGGCACAAGCAGGGTGGGGGAAGGGCAGGAGACAGGACGAGCCACAACCATAGAATGCATGGCACAGGGAAGAAGGGATGAAGACTTCATCATGAAGTCTATGGATTCACTGCCCAGAACAAGTGCCTGACAAGACTCTCTCACCTTCTATAGCAGGTTATTGTTAGGTGACCCTAAACCATGATAGGGAGAACCATTGGCGTTGACAAAAGTGGTGAGACACATCCAGAAACCATAGAGAAAGTGATGCCCTCACAGCCACACACCCAGCACAGTGGCACAGCAGCACAGCAGCACAGTAGCACTACAGCACAGCAGCACAGCAGCACAGCAGCACAGCAGCACAGCAGCACAGCAGCACAGCAGCACAGTAGCACTACAGCACAGCAGCACAGCAGCACAGCAGCACAGCAGCACAGCAGCACAGTAGTCCTGTCCTGCTCACCATGACCCCCCACCCACCCATTCCCTATCCCTCCTTGTTCACTCTCCCTCGCTCGCCCACTCGCTCCTCCCCACTGGCCGCTCACCGTGCGCTCTGATATCCGAGAGGCCAGATGCCGTCCCCCCATCACTGCTGCTCCTGAGCACACCGCATGGCCTCTGGCACACACGCACCCAGGGGAACGGGGGTGAGTGGGGGGAAGAGGGAGAGGAAGGTGGGGAGGGGAGAGGCAGTGATTCCATGGTGTTGGTGGTGAGGAGAGGTGAAGGGACAAAGCAGAGTCAAGTATGGCGTGAGGGTGGACGTGGGGAGGACTGAAGAATGTACGGATGTGAGTGAGGGTGTATGGAGGGGCATAGGAGAGGGGGGGCTGGGGACGCACATGCACCCGCCGAGTGCAACGCCCCACACGCTGGCCTCTGATGCTAGGCCTATTGTTGCCAGCTGCTCACATGCACTCATGCACGCACACACACACACACATGCATGAGCATAGACAGACGAATGGCACACCCACCCATCCCCCCCCCACACACACACACAACACAACCACACACATGAAGGGACAGGAGGCAGGATGTCGGTTTCAGGAGGTGTATCGGCTGTGCCAGGGGGAATAAAAGAGTGTGCAAGCAGGGATAGAGGCAGACGAGAGAAGCAATCTTGGGCCCGTGGATGGGCCCTACAGGCAGACAAGGGCGAAAGGATGGGGCCCGCGCATGTGACATGCATACGCGCTCCCTTCTGCCCCCTGCACGCACCTGGCTCTTGTCGCCCCACTCCCCAAGAAACACCAGGGAGAAGGCCTGCAGATGGGGCACGGGCGGGTGCAACAGAGGGAGGGAGCAGCGTGTGTTTGCTTGGAGCAGTGTGTTGGGCTCGCGAGCAATGGCCATGCAGGGTACTGCTGAACGAGAGAAAGGACTCTCATGCCTCTCACCTGAGTGGCAGCAGCAACTCCCATTGGCGCACCTGCTGCTGTGCCCCATGCACTCACCCACCTGGCCTTGCTGTGCTGTGTTGTGCCGCACACACTCTTTCTCTCCCATACAGCACACAAACCATACAGTCATGACAGTGACTTAGGCCCAACGAGTCCGCAATCACTTAGGCTGCAAAAAAGAGGGCGATGGTCCCATGCAGAGGATCGCAGATAGGCGGGTCCCATTGCAGGAAGGCGAGCGAGAGAGAAGCAGGTGTGGGGGGTTGTGTGTGGGACGAGGGGGAGGGTGTTGTGGGGGAGAGTGGTGACCTGCAGGAATGCGGGGGAGAAGAAGCGGTGCCACGCCAGCCTCTGCGCCTTGCGCTGCTTGCTCTCCTCCTCGCCCTGCGCCCCCACCCCGTTCATGCTCCCCTCGTGCCCGCCCCCATTCACCCCGTTGCTCTGCAGGGAAGAAGGGTGAGGGAGGGGGGGAGTGGGCAACAAGGGTTGAGGAGCGAGCAGGAACAGGCCCGAGGTTGTGAGATGCACTCGGAGAGGGAGAGAAGGGGAGTGGTAGTGTGAGCAGCAAGGCGTGGGTAGTAGGGTTGTTGGATGGAGAGGGAGGGGGATGTGGGTGTGGCAGAGATCAGATGAGTGGGGATGCTGGCGGGGGAGTAGGGATGCTGGCGGGAGAGTAGGGATGCTGGCGGGAGAGTAGGGATGCTGGCGGGAGAGTAGGGGATGGGGGCACAGAGGCTGAGGGTGAGGAACATAGGACGAGGGGCACGAGAGGAGGAGGACGGGAGCACGTGAGGAGAAAACACTCTGTTCACGGGATATGAAATCATGACCTGCTCGTTTACAAAGAGTGGGGGATGACGCCAAGGAAGATGATGCTTAAGGGAGATGGCGCCCAGTGTACGGGGTAAGAAGGTGCAGGACCTTGTGTTGAGATGGTGGTGCTGTAGTGGAGGGTGGAGCACTTGCCGTGGCAGCAGCTATGGTGGCCTTGTCCTGCGCACAGCAGACGGTAATGGCGCGGACAGGCGGATATGAAGAGTGGAACATCGAGGGAGTGAGAAATGATGGCGAGTGGACGACAGCAGTGCAGCGGTGTGAGAGGCAGCAGGCTGAGAAAGGAGGAGGGACAACAGCAACAATTACACAGCATAAAACATGCAGAAGCAGGGGCGGCGGCGGCGGCAGCAGCAGCAGCGGCAGCGGCAGCAGGGGCGGCAGCGGCAGCAACAGCAGCAGCAGTAGGTGGGCATGGGCGTAGTACCAGTTCTTGCTCCACCTCCTTGAGCTCCTCCGACACCCTGCAGTGCCATGGCGCAGTGGTGGGCACGGATGGACAGCGGCACGGACAGACGGGGGGGTGGGGGAGGATTGAAGTTCATGGTGTTAGTTGAGATGATGCAGGAGAGCAGGAGGAGCAGGGACACTGCATGGCATGGTATGCGGGTATAAAAAGAGAGAGGGGCATGCTGCAGGCCCGCAGCTAGGCTGCCTGCAGGAATGTGCTCGTGGCAGCAGCAGAATCCCATCCCATCCCATCACTCTCCACCGTGAATGCTCGTCGTGGAGGAGGAGGAGAGGGGCGAGGGGCGAGGGGCGAGGGGCGAGGGGCGAGGGGCGAGGGGCGAGGGGAGTTGACCTGGCGGCGTCCATGGTGAGGCCGTCCCAGAGGGAGCGCAGGCCGAAGAGGAAGAAGAGCAGCGTCGTGCTCACATGCGTCCACGCCCGCGGCAGCTGGGGGTGGGTGGGAGAGAGGGCGAGATGGGGGGGGATGAGGGGACGAGCAGGACGGATGGATGGTGGCATTGCAGGGCGACATGACGTGGCGGGGACGCATGGTGGTGAGCGTGTAGGCAGTGCATGCAGGGTGGTGACTGCCATGCACTTTACACCGAGAACTAGACTACTCCCTATTGGACTACTCAACTACTGCAGGCATGTGCGAGTGCAGGCATGTGCGAGTGCAGGCATGTGCGAGTGCAGGCATGCACGTGCACACGCAGAGCTTACGAGGTTAGGAGCAGCCCAGCCAAAGAGGGAAGAGATGATGGTCATCAACTGCAAGCACCACGGCATGGCAGCATCGAATGGCACAAACCACAAAAGCACTGTGAGAGAGCATGCGGGTAGTGCCGCGATTGATGCATGCATGTGGCACACTGCGCCCTTGCTCCCATGTGCCCTTGCTCCCATGTGCCCTTGCTCCCATGTCACATGTATCCAGCCATTTTCTCATCCCCAAGCACTCATGCATGCACTTGCCCCGCAGCCACAGCTTCCCCTCAAATCTCATCCCGCCTTGCCTCCCCCATCCTCCCTTCCCCCCTCCCCCTTCGCCCCGCATCTCCACCCGTCCCCCCCCTGCGCATCAAACGCCCCCTGCCCATTCCGCATCCCGCCTCCCCCCTTCTGCAGCGTGCATTCCGCTCCGCACATCACCCCCCTCCCCTTCCCCTCCCCATTGCCCGTGGCCCCGCGCATCTCACCCACAGAGCACAGAGCGAGCCAAGAAGCACCCAGCGCCGCGGCTGGCGCATGGCGAGGAGCTGGGGGGATCAGGGGGGAGGACGGAAGAGCATGGGGAGAGCATGGAGCAAAGGGGAGGGGAGAATGGGGGAGAGAAGAGGGCAGAGGGAGGGATGTGAGGCTAAAGGGGCGCGCGGGAAGGTGGCAGGGAGGAGAGTCGGATCGATGGCGGACAGATGGCGAGGGGAAGGGATGGGGGCGGGCGAGGCCCGAGCATGGTTGGGGCACAGAGCAGACAGCGAGGGAAGGGGAAGGCTCATGTGGAAAGCAGGGAAGGAGAGCGGGCGGGAGGAAAGGGGTGGGGTTGGGGGGTACTAGGAAGCATTGGCGCAAGGCCACGCGACGGGTGAGGTGGCACATGGAAGGAAGAGGGCATGGTTCGGCCGTCAGAGCAGGGGAAGGGGCGGGGAGGTTGGCGGGTTTGGCAGAGAGGGCCTGGGGGTAGCATTGGGGGAGGACATGGGGGAGGGCATTGGGGAGGGCATGGGGGAGGGAATGGGGGAGGGCATGGGGGAGGGCATGGGGGAGGGCATGGGGGAGGGCATGGGGGAGGGCATGGGGGAGGGCATGGGGGAGGGCATGGGGGAGGGAATGGGGGAGGGAATGGGGGAGGGCACGGGGGGGAGGGCATGGGGGAGGGCATGGGAAGCTGACCGCTGCAACGAAGAAGGTTTTGTCGCCTATCTCCGACACGAGGATCATGCTCCCCGCCTTCACCAGCGCCTGCACACACGCCACGCGCACACACGGGGGGAATGGGGACAGAAAAGGCGTCGGTACGTCTCGGTAGGAATGAGCAGACACGCACGCGGCGCCGCGGCCCGGAGCTTTGAAGCGCAACGGCGCGGCGCTGTGACATCACATGCAGACACAATTTCCAGCTACACGGAATTCCCATCGGGCGGGCGTGGGGTACGCAATTCGCATCGGCCGAGGACGCACTCACTTCTAGAAAGCCCGCGTCCATGGCGGCTCGTGGGGGCAAGGCGCGGCACGACGGACGAGCGGATGGGGAATTAAGAAGCGCGCGAGGCGGCGGAAACCTCGAGTCGGAACGAGAGGCACGGACCGACGACTGAGGCCTTGTCCGCACAGTGCAATTGCGAAGGCAACGCGGTTCCGCGGAAACTCCTGCGCACGAGACAGATGTCAGCAACGGCGGCGAATTCCCCGCGTGAATCCCAAGGCACGCTGCGATCCGGTCTCAGTGATCGCAGTCAGCTAACGACTTGCAAAATTCACTCGCCAGGACCGCACGTCCTCTGCTCTCTGTGACACGCCTCCTGACGCAATTATTCCGGTTCACCTAGTAGGTAGAAGTACCCGAGTGGAGGACTCGCAGACGACCGTTGCCTACGAGCGACTCGCTTTGCTCGGATCGCGACGAGTACGGGCGAGGGTGGACGAATGGGCGCGAGTGATGGTAGGGCTAGGTGCAATGGCAGCAGCAGGTCTGAGATTCAATCTGTAATGATCCAGTCCAGTGGCGCTCTACTGGAGTTGGGTGATCGATCAGGAGAATTCAGAGAAGGTTTTGATGCTCGTGCAGTGTGGGTCGTGATGTGATGACAGGCAGGAAGGCGGGAAGGAGTGCTGCCCAGTCGAATGCCATGCAAATGGGAACAGGTTCTCTGCTGGTTCATTCTGCTAGTCTAGGGAATCAGGATCTCCTTTCGTTTCGCTTCATCACGTCACGTCACGGCACTGCCTCTCGCCACCCAAGTTATTTCCCCCTCCACCCTATAAGCTCTAAACTGGAGTTATCGAATCTGGGATTACCACGTGGAAAGGCATGGGTTCCTTCACGAGTTCGAGAAGCCTCAATGGTTGGCTCTTCGTGCAGTATTATAAGGAAGCGCACATTTCAGTGACCGCGGTGTAGCTATTTGCTCATTGCCAATATGTTTGATTGGGAGGATACACTTAACCTCTTTTACGGTATTCTTATTTTGTTTCTTCTCATGAACTTCAGTTAACCTACGACCTAATCGATACGTTCTTCAATCGAGCTGTATCTGTAGTTCCCGCCTCAAGCTTCCACTTCCACGAACCTTCTCACAGCGCGACAAGCACTTCAACGCGACTGCGCAGCATTTCTCCGCGCTTTATTCGCCTGGAACCCCGGCGCAACCCCCCCCAACCCGCCCGCATTCCGCTGGTCCGCCATGCTCAACCTCCCCCCCGCCCCCTGGGAGGACGGCGGCTCCGCACCCTTCTCCCCCGCCTCGCCTCCCACGCGCTCCATGGCGGCGCTTCTCGCGTCGCTGTCGCTGCAGCGGCGGTCGCGCGAGCTGGGGCTGCAGCTGCGCGCGGGGCTGCGCGACGTGCGCGCGGAGTTCAGCTATGTGCGCCTGCGCGGGCTGCGCAAGGTGGGGCTCGTGGTGGAGTCCGCGGCGGAGTCGGACGAGCTGGCGGACGTCTTCCGCGAGAGCCAGCAGTACAGCGAACTGCAACGTGAGAAGGGGGGGGGGGAGGGGAGGGGGAAGGGGGGAAGGCTGTGTGGGGAGGGGTGGAGGGGGCGCTGTTGGGGGGAAGGCTGTGAGGGAAAGAGGGGGAGGAAGAGGAGGCGGGGAAGGGTGTCTGGGGGGCGGAGCTCGGGTGGTGGGAAGGAGGAGCGGCTCACCGGGGAAAGACGAACGACGCAGGCGACGACGATGAAGTGGGCGGGGAGGCGGGAGAGAGAGAGAAAAAGAGAGGATGCGAGGGCGAGAGAGTGGTGAAGGAGAGGGCAGGGAGCGTGGTTGTGAAGGCTGGCGTGCATTGACGTTTGCATGAGGCGCACAACAACGGGCAGTGTGAGGTAGCTAGGAAAATAAAGGCAGAGAGTAAGGTGGCTCGGTTGACAAGTGGCTCACTTTGTCTGCTTGCCCCATCCCTCCGCTATCCCGCTGCGCCCTTCTTCTCCCCCTCACCTCACCACCTAAACGCATGTGCCCCCCATAGGCCATGACCCCCATGTGCCCATGTGTGCCCCGTGCCCCCCATTGCCCCCATGCGCCCCACGTCCCCCACGTCCCAACTGTGTGCTGTGTGCCCCATGTGCGCATGGCAGTGGTGCCAGCCATCTGTGAGCACTGCATAGGGCCCAGCACGGCGGACGACGACGACGATGACGACGGGGACGAGGGGTTGGGGCGCGGGCGGCCCATGGCGCCCACAGCGGAGGAGGTGGAGGTGGCGCTGCACGTGCTGGAGGGGTGCTGCCTGCTCGACCCCGCCACCAGCCGCCAACTCGCTGCTTCTTATGATGTTGTCAAGGTGGGTGGGAGCAGGGGTGGGGTGGGAGCAGGGGTGGGGTGGGAGCAGGTGTGGGGTGGGAGCAGGTGTGGGGTGGGTGGGAGCAGGGGTGTGGTGGGTGGGAGCAGGGGTGTGGTGGGTGGGAGCAGGGGTGTGGTGGGTGGGAGCAGGGGTGGGGTGGTGAACGTGGGTCAGATGCAGACGACAATCCTTGAAAGGATGTCTCTTAAATCAACACATACCATAACAAATCCTGCTCATACTACACTGCCCCTCCCTCTCCCACGCCCACCTCCACTGCCCTTCTTCCTCAACCCCCTACACTTCCCATCCCCGCCGCCTCACGGCACCCCAACCTCATGGAGGCAGGACATTCTGATCCACCTGTCGCCCATGTCGTCCACGCCACTGGGCGACCCCCCACCGTCGCTCATGGCATGCTGCCTCAACGCACTGCCCGCCATCCTCCTCGCCAGCCCGCAGGCGCTAGAGGTCAGCAGGGGGGGTTCTTGGAGTTGCTGCTTGCATCTGTAGGCCCACTGTGCCGGACCGTCTCCTGTTACTCCTTGTTCTCTTGTTTTTTTTTTTTTTTTTGGTTGGCTCTCTTGCTGTTTTGGTCTGTGCTGATATCACACACACACACACAAACACACACACACACATACACAAACACACACACACACAAACAAACACACACACACACACGCACACATGCACGCACGCACGCACGCACGCACGCACGCACGCACGCACGCACGCACGCACGCACGCACGCACGCACGCGCGCACGCACCCTCCCCGTCCCACCCCCCCCTTCCTCCCTCCCCCCCCCCCGCCCACACACACACAAGAATACATCTCCATGCACAATCTCACATGCATGGCATGGTCTTGCAAGGGACTCATCTGGCTGCCTTGCGCTGTTGTGTGACTGCTGCTCTCCGTCGCCCTGTCCACCCCTGCTTGCCCACCCAACAACTCCACTCTCTCACGTCCATCTGCCCACCTGCCATGTACGTGGTCCCCTGTGTGGGTGGCAGAGCATGGACGTGCACAAGGGAGTGCTGCATGTGGCGCCCATTGTCAAAGACCGCCAAATACCACTCTACCTCAGGTGATTGCCTCCTTAGGATATGCTTGGTGCGTGGGTTGTCCCTTTGAGGAGTAATTTACTGGGACAGTTGCAGTATCTGGTTGACTTCCCAGGTTCCCCCTCCAATTGATATCAACAGCCTGCCGCGCCTTGTGAGCCCCCGTGTAGTGGCAGTCCCACCATTCTTTCTGTTGCATATCTTCTTACGTTTGCAAACTGAGTCTGGTTGTCTCCCATATGGTTGTGGCTTTATTTGTCGCAGCACATTCGCATGGCATGCAACTGAGCTGATATCACCTGCACCAGTGCACATGCCACATGATCAAAACAAGCACATAGCACATCCGCGGCAACCTCACAAGGCCAACACGCTTGAGCCCATCATGAGAGGGAGTCACACTTATCCAGTGTGAGCCACCCTTCACACACGCAACACCATCCAATGGCACATTCCGCATGTGCTTCCTCCCTCGCTCCCCTCTTCCCCACCCCCTCGGCAGAGCCAAGGCAGTGGAATTCCTAGCTCTGTTCCTGGCACAGCTGACGGACCTGGCCGCAGGGGGCGGGGGTGGCAGCACGGTGGAGGTGGCGGGCAGGTGGCTGGGCGACGCGGTGCACGACCTGGAGGACGTGGTGGGGGAGCGCGCTGCCCAGCTCATTGAAGGCGTGGCCACGGGGCGAGGTGCTGTGCTGTCGGAGGACTTGGTGGAGGAGCGCGTCACCCGCATTGCCGAGATGTTCTGACGGCCTGCTGCTGCTGACATGTATGGTTCTTCTATGCGGATGAGAAGAATGCGGGAAGAGTGTATAGGCTTCGTCACCACTAAACAGGAGAAAATATTTGATAATTAGTGTGGGGGGTACCTGAATGCGATGTTTAATGTAACCAAAACCAGACAAAACAGAAATTAGCTTGTTGCAAAAGTGAAAGTTACAGAATCTACCGTAAGTAGGGTAGCTCTAACTGTAGCTTGATGTTGTTGGAAACAAGTAGTTCTAAGCGCCCCTGTCGTGTCTAAACACCAAGTCAGAAGCGAAGCAAAGCATATCGAAACACCGGCGAGTCAACCCTCGGAGGTTGAGCAGTTGCTGGAGGTTACGCGAAAGTCAAAGGTCAGCGACCTTTGACCTGACAAGTACAGCGCGACAGCAAGGACACACAACTGACTCGCTACAGAGCAGTTGCCCGAGTCGTCACTGTATCAAACCGCAACAGCAACAGTAAAGTAGTTGCAACCGTATCTCTTCGTATTCCTTGTACTCTTATATATATTCTTGTGTCTCTTTACTTTGATCAATCGACTTTGCCCTCACATACTAGCGCAAGGTGGTTCAAGCACTTCTCATTAAAGCTTCCGCTAATTACAACAAGTCCTACCCAGAGTTCACCCCTGCAAAGATCCTAAGGGCTTTTTCTCAGCCCAACATGGTATGAGAGCTATCAGGGGGAACTCAACTATCAAGATACCTACAACATCAACAGGCATGGCTACACAAAAGGAAAGGAGCTCCTCCAACGGCTCCCAGGGCACTACTACTCCACCTCCTGCCTCTGACCTGCAGACAGAGGAGGGCACGGCAACAAGACCAAGAGCAACCTCTACCGAGACTCCTGCAAATCAACCTGCAGGCTTCGATCAGAGCATGATGGAGAAGTTTTTCTCCTTCATGTCCTTCTACGAGCAACACCAACAGTCGGCACCTGCGCAGTCGAACAACAGCAACAACAACAACGGAGCAACTCCCATGAGTCTCGACGGCTCATCATACGCACGAGGAAATCAACAGCAGCCTACCTTTGCTCCGTACGAGCGCGGGTCCATCAGTTTTATGCCACACCCGCAGCCTTCACCTGGACAAGAAAAGCCACTGGACGCATTACAAGTTCAGTCGCAGTTCGCGCACGTTCTAAAGATGCAGACGTCAAGACCTTTCGATGGAAAGGATTTCTTCACCTGGTCGTTTGAATTCGAGTTAATGATGGAAGGCGCGCAGATACTTGGCTTCTTCGACGGGTCCCTGCCATACCCAACGAACGGGACACAGTATGAGAAGCAGCAGTACACCTATCAGTCGATGATGGCGTACACGATTCTACTGAAAAACATCACCCCGTCCCAACAGCAGAATATACGGTCTTACCGGGGTTACGGCAACTCCGCGGAGCTCGCATACAACCACTTGAAGAGCCTGTATCAAGCAACAGACAGCGTAAATCAAAGTCGGTTAATGGCGCAATTGACAACGGTCGAAATGAAAGCAGGCGAGAAAGGAATGGCGTATATCAGCCGATGTCGCGAGTTGCGCGACAAGCTTCTTCGATGCGGAGGGTCGATTTCTGAAGACGCCTTCGTGACAGTTATCATTGGCGGCCTCGGTCCTCAATGGCGCGCAACAAAGGCCATTCTCCGAGCCCACGGAAGAATCTCCGAAGCAGCGCTCTGCGCCGAAATCCACGCCGAACAGCAAGACATGGACCTGCAAGAAGAACGACACAAGAAGAAGACATCAACACCGGAATTCGCATTCCATACTCAGCGACGCTACAACAACAACAAACAACAACAACCGAAACCCGTACCTCCGTTCTGCCACATCTGCAAGACATCAGGGCACCCGCGCACGCACTGCCCGAATCGACAACAGTCAACGCCTTCACAGCGACAGCTTCGACCTTCAAGCAGCCAAGTCACTTCAATACAAGCGAACCCCACCGCTCAAGCTCAAACGACACCGACGGGACAACCTGCACAAGGAGCAAGGAACATCGTCAGCTGCATGGCAAAACTGTCGGATTCCTGCACCACTGAATCACCACCGCACTACTCACCAGAAGAACAACTTGACGAAAGGACTCCGCGCCGTGAGACACTGGAGCCGAACCCGACATACGCAGCTATCGCCCAGAGTGAACCATCCGGGAAAGACACATGGTTCCTGGACAGTTGCTGCGGGCAACATATGTGTTCTTCGGGATGCTTCGTTCAACGCGAACACCATCTTCAACGCGAAGTCGTCATTACCGTCGCCAACAATCAGAACCTGCGCACACGACGACAAGGCGTAGTGCAACTTCAGTCACGAGAAACAAACGTCATACTGCAGATGTCCAAGGTTTTAATAGCAGAAGGACTCGGATACAACTTACTGAGCGTCAGTCAATTGACGGCGAAAGGAATCCACCTCGAAGCAGACAGCACAACACAGGAGTTCAAGCTGTACCATGGGAAAGGTGGCCTCTACATCGGCAAGGCCGTACTAAAGAACAACGTGTTCGTCCTCGACTTCGTTCCAGACCTAGGCACCGCCGACAGCGACGGAATCGTCACTTTCACCTCCTGGACGCACCCACCAGATCTCGATCCAGACTTCAGCCCCGGAGGATTCTGGTATTCGCACACCAGTCCTAAGACAGAACGAACAAGAGCGTTAGCTACGATCCAACATTCGGCAGCAGCAGAGACAACAACGGCAGCAGCAGAGACAACATCGGCAGCAGCAGAGACAACAACGGCAGCAGCAGAGACAACAACGACAGCAACAGAGACAACATCGGCAGCAGCAGAGACAACAACGGCAGCAGCAGAGGCAACATCGGCAGCAGCAGAAGCAGCAGCAGAGACAACATCGGCACCAATCGCAGGTCCTTCAACTGCACCAGCCCCAATCGACGACGACACCCCACCAACTCCTGCACAACAGCTGAATCCAACACCTCGAGAAGTACATCGAAGCGCTAACTTCACCGCCAGCTTCTACTCCAACTCCGACGAATACCGACGCTCACCCGGACATCGCACCGACGAAGATCTCTAGCATAAAAGATTGGGACATCCGAGCAACACGACGTTAAACAATACGATAAGAGCAGGCGTTTTTGACAAAGATTCACTACTTCTACCCGACGGCAGAGAACTTCGACGAATGAGAGGAACCTGCTTCACCTGCCCAGAAGCCGACTTACCGCATCAGCCCTTCATCTCTCACCACAACCCGAGCGCACCAGCTTACGCACCACTTGAAAAGGTGTACAGCGACATCCTGTACAATCGCGAACCTGGACAAGCGGCATACAACTATACCATCACGTTCATCGACGCCGCCACCCGTTATGTCTGGCATCTCAACCTTCCAAGCCGCGACATGGCCCTCGAAGCTTTCATAGCCTGGCTCCCAGTAGCAGAACGGGAATCGGTAGTTAAGCTGAAGGGTTTTCAGTCTGACGGAGGAGGAGAATACACCTCACAGAGGTTCAAGCAGTACTTGGCAGAGAGAGGAATCAAGCGGCTCATCTCCCTTCCCTACGCCCATCAACAGCAGGGTGTGGCAGAAAGAATGAACATGACCCTTCAGAACACCATGCGCAAGCTGCTACGTGGCATGCGGCTACCCAACCACCAGTGGCCCGAGGCAATGGACCACGCTGTGATGCTGCACAACTTGCTTTCGTCATCATCACTTCCGAACAACGCATCACCGCACCTGCTGTGGACAGGGAAACTGGGCAGCACAAAAATGTTACGGAATTTCGGCTGCATGGTACAGTACCGACCCCCAGCTGCACGCGCTGGCCGATTCTCACAACGCGCACAGTGGGGGCTACACCTGGGCATCGAAAAGAATTACAACGCGTGGAAGATTTTTGACGTCCACTCAAAGGAAACAGTAGCAGCACGTGATGTCATTTTCTACGAGAGACTCACCCTCTCAACGTACCTGTACAACTTGGAGACCTCACGAGATGTCACAGGTGGATTTCGTGGGGACCGAGCCTTCGCTTCGGCAGAAGATGAAGCTGACCTGGACGAGCAGAACGTGGAAGGAGCCTCGGAAGAAGCCGGACCCCTCCCCTACTGCTCCGTTGACGTGCCAATGGACGACGAAAACCCACGCGAAAGCATCAACGCCGACGCCTACTACCATTTCGCTGACAACGGTTACGTTACACCTGCACAAGTCAACACCGACGAAGCAGAACGCGTAGGACCTAATTTCGCACCTGATCCAGAAGCGGGAGACGAAGCAGTTTATCCCGAGGACACTTCACTCCCCCGCTACACACAGAGTGGACTCCAAATCCTTGGTCTCGTCACCGCAGTTCACGGCGCAGCCATTCCTAAAGAGCCTGCGACAGTTCAACAGGCTCTGGGGGGGGAACATAAGGAAAAATGGCGCGAAGCCATGGACAAGGAGTTAAAGGCGCTGGAGGAACGCAACACCTGGAAAGTCGTCCCTATTGGCGTAGCACGTAACAAAACAGTACTCACCGGGAAATGGGTCTTCCGTGTGAAAACAAAGGCTGACGACACCATCGACAAGTTTAAAGCTCGCTGGGTCGTACGCGGCTTCGATCAAGAGCACGGACGCGACTTCACCGAAACGTTCGCCCCAGTCAGCCGACACACTTCACTTCGAATCCTTCTCGCGATCGCCGCCATGAAGAAGAAGAAGCTGCGACAAATCGACGTCGCGAACGCATTCCTCTACGCACCTGTTGACGCAGAAATCTTCGTCGAACTACCGCACGGCTCCAACGGTGAGCCTAATCAAGTCTGTCAACTGCTGAAGTCGCTCTACGGCATCAAGCAAGCTCCACGGCTATGGCAACAATACCTGCACGCTCGCCTCATTCGCATCGGCTTCAAACAACTACCGCATGATCAGGGCATGTACCGGCTCACGAAGAACACCGACTACATCCTGTCAAACATTATATGTTTATATTGTGTAGGCTATAGTGGGTT